CGTATGAATATGCCTTTCCTTCTACTTATTTTTGTGACGATATCTGCGTTGCGCGTGTCTGCATTCGGTTTCGTGGCCCCTATCAGGTTTTTTCAGTTCGATCCCGTCTTTTCCGGGAAAGCTCTCACGAGGGTTAGTGATGAGGAAAAGTTTATTCGGAAGCCGGTTTCCACGAATAATCCGAGGGGGGATTTTGTATTTGTTGCCTTCTCTCGTCCGCCCTTTCGTGATTATTTGTCTTTTCACGGCTTTTGTCCCGCCAACGGCACAGGTGGGCCCCCTTTCCCGAGAGAGAGAGAGAGTCTCCCCATCATACCCAGCCTTCAGCATTCCCCCAAAGCCCCATAACACATGGGGGGCCACAAGGCCAGGGGACTGAACTCGTCCCCTGTGCCCGGTAAAAGAAAAGAGTCTCCCGGGGAACAGAGAACAGAACAGAGGGGGAGACAGACAGACAGGGCGAAAGGTGTGTTCCGCGGGGGGAAGTCCGAATCAACTGTCACGCATGGTCAGGGCCCTAGATTCTTTTCAACACTAGTCTCACTCAGAGGGCCGAGGTCTGCAAAGGACCCGTCCCGGCGGCCGAACCCAGAACACAGCTGCGCGTGTTCACGGCGTTCCCACCCTATGCGGGGGGGGGGGGGGGGGGNNGGCCCAGGGTTGAGAGCCAGCAAACAAGCAAGAGAGACAGAGAGTTGGCATGTGGGCGCGGGGACGAGGCCTACTTAGTTTTCGGGGGGGGCTCTGCAGCAACCTAACACCCCGTTCGTACAGTCCTTTGGAGCGACAACTGCTCATAAAGCCCCAAAGCCCTTTCCCTACTGTACGAAACCAAACAGAAAGGGGCCGCCTCGGCGCGGGCTAGCGACGCTGGCCCGAACCCAACGGAAGAAAGGAAGTTGGCATGATCCATCGATCAGGGTTCCCGCGAATTGGGTGGTGCCAGCAGATTCACTAGTGCTGCCATAATAATTTGTTGTCTCGCTGATCGTCTTGATCTTGTAGCATGCTCTTCTCAGAGACCTTTTTACATGTGCTCCATTTCCCCACCTCTTGTCCCCCCTCTTCCTGACTCCTGGTCTTTCGCCTCCTAGTTCCCGACCTTGTTTCCATTGCGCACGCTTTGACTCTGCTTCTCCAGTTTCCTGACTTGTCAAACCGCTGCTCTTGCCAAGTTCCGTGAATGGGAGTCCTTGACAATGTTCTCTGCTTTCAGCATTGCGATGCATTGCGACACATGTTTTTCGGTTTAGGTTGTTTATTCATGATAGTTCAGAGCCGTGGTGTGGAAAACTCCTCCGCCTTTGCGCTATGCATGTAGCCAGCTAATTTGTGCAAAATCAGTCTTTGAGAGGCCTGGGTTTCAATTGATGTAAGGAGGGATGCTTGCTTGTTGTGATCCATGCCCCGACCCACCGTTCAATGTCGAGACCTACCCCGATGCAAACCTCTTCCTCCCCAACCCCACCGTGCCCCGCAAATTCAACTTGGCCAAACAGCGAAAGTGTCTGTGCACTTGCATGTCTCAACAAACTTCCGTGCATACCCCGGTGAGCAAGCAGTATGTGCCCGCAATAAACACCCCTTCCCGAACATCCATCCAGTCGTGAAGTTGGTTTTTTGTCACCGGAGCTGACTGTAGTAAGGCTCCACAACTGATCCACACCTTCACGCAGCTATGATTTTGATTTGTGCCTTATTCTCATGCAACACATGCCGAGGTTTCGGGCTTTGCTTTGTTTCAATTGGCCAGAACATGTTTCAGTGTCCCGACTTGATAGAAACTGCCATGCATCCGGATGTCGATGAATGGGACTTTGCGTGGCTTGTGGCACAGCAGGCCGGCGGAATTTCTCATTGTGGTTGGGATGTTGGTGGAACAGAGTCTAGTGATGCCGGCATTATTCCAGGTCACAGGTCACATTCGAGCGCGTTGCCCATCAACTTCATCGACCGTCGTGGTGATTGCGAGCACAATCGACTACAGGCGCACATGATCTGATCTGGTCTGACATGACATGAGGTGATATGGCATGATATGTGGGGCTGTCGACTTTCGCAGTGAGTTTGCGTGGTGGCGGCGAAGCCATGACCTCAGCCATCTTGCACAGAATCGGTGAACCTACTTGAGTCGATGAGAACCGGGAATCTTTGCTAAATGGTTTTGCCGCTTCCCATGGATGCAGGAATCTGGCCCGTCAACTTGTGTCCGCCGAGGACACTCTACACGTTTGACGCTATGCGTCACTATTCTCCTCACTCCATCCAGAGTAATTAATTGCGCCTCTTGTCAGGAAACTGTTCAACCGTATGGTTCTGCTGGCAAAAATCACGAGTTTGGTAATTGCCGTTGGTTGGTACTGCTTCGCATTAAGAAGCGCGCTTGCCACGGTGCGTGCACGACGAACGACTGTCAACAGGATCACGTCATTGAAGTTGGCAGCAGCTTGGGGCATTGCACAGAAATTCTACACGCCAGGCGCGAGCAGGGATTCAGAGTTGCAGTCAGTTCTGGTCCCAAAGTGCTTGCCAACACTCTCGCACGAAGTGGCCGTGCTAGTAACCTGCCTTGTGGATCTCCGGTCCTCGCAGCACACTGGCAGAGCGGCTGACGTACTCGGTCTCGACGTGTCTGTTGCCCAGCTGGCCGAAAGCCGCCGCCGAGTTCCAGGGGCTGAGTTTGACTTTCTTGTGCCTCAGCCTGTTCCAGCATGCTCGAGCTTAGACCGAACATGTTGAATCTCCGTTGCCAGTTGCTTGAATCAAGGACATCTTTGAGGAGGCAGACCGCTTGGCGGCGCTTCCAGCTGCAGCTCGCTGCAAGAAGGCTGGCGGCGTTTTGGAAGCTGTCATAACATTAGCCATCCGAGTGGCTTCTAGTTCATCATGTCATCAGTTTGAGAAATGCAGCGCTTTGCAGGTATTTCTAGATATTGGTGGTGATCGCCAGAAGGTGTGTCTTGGACCTGTTCTGGATGCACGACGAACCACAGGTCCCATTGTTACCCTGGTGCAGTGCAATCGTAAAACTCTGAATTCTGAACTTCGACATGTCTATGCTTGGTAAGATTTCGTGCTGCGCTCAATAGCACATTCCTTCGGGGTTATTTGTGAACAACAGGCTTTCCCGCAGCTCCTTACGAGGACCCGAGCTATCAGGCACAGGCAGGAGCGAATGACGACGGCATGCCACCAGGCTCAGACACATCTCAAACACTGAAAGCTCATGATCAGACTACCAAAGCATTCGAGCAGAATCTTTAGGATGGGATGTCCCAGCCTTATCCTGTCCCAGACTTGTGGTTTTTGTTGCGGTGCTAGCAAGATAAGAGACTTGCTGTCGGTGTTTTGCGCAGGGTTTATTCGGCCTTAGGCTCTCCACCAACTCCAGGTGTCTTTTTTGCATGAAGCAGCTAAGGCAGGTTTTGCATGCGATCGACATCTTGCGACGCTGCATGCCGAATGTGCAGTTGATTGTGGTGAAATCGGAGGAGCTCCGCAAAGCGATGATCAGCAGAGCTTCGTCCACTGTGACATCTGCAGACTACAAGCCATGAACCACATCGCAAGGAAGCCTTCCGGATATAAACCTGCGGAGGAGCTCCACAGTGCCATGGCTTCCTGGACGGGGTGTGCAAGCAGTGCCAGCAACGGTGAAGGCGCTTGACGTTGCCGTGAAGTCTCAGCCGTCTTGCTAGAAAACCACAGACTTGTTAAGGCTGTTAAGGTGTTTACCTGGAGCGGCCTTGCGAGTTTCTACACTCCGCTGAAGGCAGCTGCTGGGCTCCTGGCTGATTTTGCACCAGGTGCAGATTTGTTCCAATTCAGGCTCCGCCGCACCTTTGCGCCTCCCAAAGCAGCGCCGCGCCACCCGGGTCAGGTCGGCGGGCCCAATTTTTCCCTCATGACTGGAATGCATTTAGCGCTTCTGTCAGGGCAGAGCAATGTTCAGTCTGATCCCAGTTGGGGTAAGGAAGGGGGCGCGCTGCAGGGTCGGGTCTCTGTCGCAAAGTGGAGGGACCGACGCACCCACACACCCTCACACCCCACCCGGTCCCCACACCCCCCCACCCCCACCCAGTATTGAGTTTGAACCAAAACACTCAAGGATGATGGCCCATGTCTCAAATCGTGTTGATGATGATTGTAGTTTGGTGCCAAGCTTTCCAGACACAAGGATTGACATACAAAACAAGATGAGATTATCAGGATGGCGGTTGCACTGGTCGGGATTGGTCGTGTTACTCAGACCGACGATGTGTTCTAGAGTGACAGGCACTGAAAATGCCGGCCTGGATTCCCCTCGCACCCCTTTGATGGCATTCCTGGTGCTGTCTTGCGAAATGTCTTTGCATGGCGGAGTGTTGCAGGGTGATCAAACGACATCAACTTGGCAAGAATACATGAGCACCCCGCTGCCGTTGCGTCAGACTGAATCCTCGATGCATCTTTTGCCTTCTGATTCAGGTCGCTGGTGCAGAACCAGCTTCTGGCTTCGGCACGGGACTCACTCATTCGGTTCGAGAGTGTATTCCGCTTGCTGCAGTTCATAGCCAAGGCAGACCCCGAGAGGTGGTTCTCTCGACGAGAGATCGAGGTTGCAGATACAGATCAACGCACGGTTTAAGTCACACGCCTGAAGGCCGCATTGAGATGATTTGCACTTCCTGCGCATGGTCGTATTTACTCCGTTGCAGGAAGGTCATGGAATGTCTTGAAAGCGTAAAGACGCCCTAAACCCATGTGCCGGGGCCTGCTCCGGACTCTGTCCGACCCTACCGCAGGCCCTGCCCGGCCCTGCCACAGGGCATGTGGGACCCTGTCACAGACCCATGGAACAGGCCCTGTGGACTTGTACAGGGCCTGTCCGACCCTGCCTCTGGGCTGGTCTGTTCCGAGATGTCCCGAGAAGGAGCAGACCCAGGGCTTCTCCACAAGTTCTCGAAAGATGCCGAGGAAACATCGTCGAGCAAAACGCATACAGTACAGTGAGTGGAATGCGCACTGCGGCTGATAAGCTCCTATTCATCTCGCAAGTGTCGCACAGAATCCCTTGCAATTTGCGACGTCATGTAGCATTGGCCCGGCACCTCAAGCGCCTTGACTTGGCCTGAAGAGGATACAGCATCCGGCTTTTTGCCAGCGACGAGCCTAAGACGAATGCAGGCTGCGCTCCCGTCCTTTTCAAACATCCGTGGCTTTTGCTTGGTCCGAATCTTGGTGGCAACAAGGCTGACTTCGCCTCGAGCCAAGTCTGGATCCTGCAGCTACTTGCAGAGGAGATGAGGAATTGAATGCGGAGCTGGCAACCTGCTCGGGGCTAAGAAATGGCGAGTGTCACGGGAGTGGATACAGAAAAGCACAAATTAGAAAGTGTGCATGGATACCTTGCAAAGGGCTAGTGAGAAACCTTTGATGGGTATCGGAGTTCGTGACGTGTAAGCAAGCAGCTGTTGCCGGCTTCGAGTCCACCCAACAAGGCCCTCTCTGCTTGTCTGCCGTTTCAGGCCTTTTCCTGCATCACGAACAAAATCCACTGTTCCTGGTCGCGTGCCTATTTGGAGAGAAGAATGACAGGCATAGAGCTTTCTTTGGTTCGACCTAAACAGTCGTGACATGTTTGTCAAATATCCACCATATCAAAGTTGTATACTCATCTGACATCAGATTCCGATACAAGCTGGATCTGGATGGTCAGGATCATGCAGTGTGTTGCATTTACGCCGACGACAAAGAGGCCCCCCGCTCGCATTCGATCTGTTTCGACAGTCGCAATCAAAGGCGCCCAACATCGAACTTTCCTGCAGGTCGAGGCATTGATGCAGCGTTGTGGCAAGCATGCGATACCCGTCTTTTGGGGTCAGGGTGGAGGACTTCAGCCGATGGCGGGGAGCACATTGAGCACAGCTGGCTTTGCGCAATGCTCATAGCGGATTTGACTGCAGGAGCTGTGATGCAGGAGTTCCTTGGTGTCTCGCCTGCATTGACATCGCGACAGGGTAATTGGTTATGGTTCTGGATGCAATCTGAACTTGTGCTGTGGTGCCTACTAGGACCAACGGAAGGTTGTGCCCTGCACGCACTCCGCTTCGGTGTCGGAGGACCTGGAACTGTGTTTGCTTGAGCCGAGCTGCCAAGGATCTTACGAGATTGTTGACATGTTGCCATTGAGCCACAGCCTCTACGAGGTCCTGTCAGCTTGTTGTTGTTACACGTCTGTGATTGTGCTGTACTGTATAGGTTACATTGAGGTGACTGCGCGCCATGTCGCGTTTGGCTGGTCAGTACATGATTCAGCAACTGGCCGTTGATTCAGCAACTGCGCTTCAGAAGCCATGCCCGCTTCAGCAACTGCGCGTCAGCAACTGCCGCGATTCAGCAACTGCCGCGGTTTAGCAACTGTGCAGCAGCAACTGCCGCAGTTCAGCAACTGCGCTTTAGCAACTGCCGCGTTTCAGAAACTGGCCCAGCGGTTCAACGACTGCGCTTGAGCAACTGCCTACTAATGACGCTCGTGGTCTGGTGCGTTTTGGGAACAGAGCATCCATGTCCAAAACCTATAACGTCTATGGTCTAGTTCGATTTGGGAGCAGAGCATCCATGCCCAAAGCCTCATGACGTCCATGGTCTAGTGCGATTTGGGAACAGATCAATGGTGTAGTGCGATTTGGGAACAGAGCATCCATGCCCAAAACCTAATGACGTCCATGGTCTACTGCGATCTGGGAGCAGAGCACCATGTCCTAAACTTCAAAACCTAGTAATTCTGCTTTCCGACTGCTGCGTTTGGTTTCTGAATCCGTTTCTGAATCAGCCGATCCAGTTCCTGAATCTGCCGTTCTGGTTTCTGAACCCAGGGGTAGTTTCCAAATCAGTCCGTTTAATTTCCGAATCAGTCCGTTTAATTTCAGCATCAGCCGTTCCGCCGAATCCGCTGTTCCATTTTCTGAATCATGGCTGGTTTCTGAATCAGCCGTTCTGGTTACTGAATCAGTCGTTTCTGTTAACGAATTTTCCGCCGACCCGTTTTGCTTGTCCTGGACCTGCAGGGGCCAGTAACGACATGCCTAAAGGATGGTCAAGCTTCGGCCAAATGCCGGACGCCTTGTGATCACACTTAAAAGGTCAAGGTGGTTGCCACAGTGTGTGGCCCCGAGCGGTTGATGCTGTCGGTCTGCCATTTCTCTCGCAGTCGGCTGTAGGGGTGGCATGGGGTGGCCACACATCTGCGAAGGCCCCACGGTAAACGAGACATCTTGCGGATTCGTGGCATGTAATTAGACCAGAGCGTATCAGAGCGTGTGCTTGCCGGGCACCGGCACCGGCACCCGTTCATTCCAGTCAGCACCCTGAAGATCGCATTTGATTAATCCATAGTTGCCTGCTCAATACACGAGTGACGCAAATGCTTTTCCCTAGTTATGTTCAGGCCGTGTCGAGCCAATCCGTAGGCGCTGTGTCGGAGAACGCAGGCGGCTTTAGCCTCGTCTTTCCGTCGCCTTCCCTGAGGGCAGCCCATACTGAGTGGATCAGCCTACCGCTCTCTAACGTTAGATAACGTTAGGACGAAGGACGCCAGGGCTTTATTCAATAGTTTCCTCATGTTTCCGAACTCTCCCTGCCATCGTCTTCTCTGGCATGCGACAAGCGGGAAACAGCAGGTACGTCACGCAAGAACTGTTGATGGGTTGACTTGGATAGTGACTAAAGACCGCCAGGCTCCTGCTTTGTGTGAGCATCTTCAAGGGCTCCGTCGTCGCTCTCGCAGGCCGAGTTGAATCTAACAACTCCTAGCAGTCCATGACGGCTCGAGGCTCTAAACCAGTGACTGCATCTATGTAGCGCACTTGCACGCCTCGTGGAGTTGGAGGCCAATGACTGGCCCACAGCTGCTGCAGATGAAGTATGTCGAGGCAGCACGGGAGCCCCTTGCTCAGCAAGTGTGGCCACCGGGAGCGTTGTTGAACGGATGTGAGTTAAGGTTTCTAGAGTTAGAGTGCTGTTCTTGTTCTGTTTGAGTGCTTGTGTTTGCGAAGTCTGCACATACTCAGGTCGACATATCCAGAGCATCCCTGCAAGTGCAGTGATCCATCTGCATGGCTGCAGGAGATCTTGAGACGTGTGCACTGGCATGAAAAGGCGGCGCAAGTTGGGATGATCAGTTTCAGCATGCGAAGGGACGCAATGGTGCTGCTCGTAGTCATCCGGCAGCAGGCTTGTTGCAGGCATTGGAAAGTCAGATCTTGAGTCGGGCATCTCGATGTCATTACTTCTTGTTCTCATTGCCGGACATTTTCTGCTTCAGCTACAGCTTTGTGGCACATGGCCAAATCATGTTGAACCTTGGGTAGCGAGCGGGTAGTATGTTGTCTCGAAAAAGCTGGGAAATAAATTCCCGAGCTGAGCCAAGCATGCGGTTCACGTTGTCCTCTCCCGAAGTTGCAGGGACGTCGCATGCAATACACTTCCATCGCTTCCGTTCATGGCTCTGCCGTGCTCATCTACAAAGCTGCACAGGCAGATCGAGGCAAGTTGGTCAAGCTTGTTCATGGGATGTTGCCCAGCGGCTGTATCAGGTTGCTGATGCTTCTATCAAAGCTGTTGCAAGAACCTGTGGCGAGGTAACGACACTAGGTTGACTCGCACGGATGCGTCTGACAGAAGAGTATAGTATTCCCTCCAGGTGCGCCGCGGCCGAGGACAAAATCAAATCAGGAAGCATTCAAACTTAAAAGGTGTATACCACTATGATCCCTTGCCGTTGCTGGTTTGCTTCATTGCGTTGCTGACGAACCACGACCCCGTCAAACCCCATCACACCTCAGATCAAATCATTTTGCGCGTACTGGTAGTTGTGTTGGCTTCATTGCAGCGTGACTTTGACTTGACTCTGCGCCAGGCATGCTATCCTGGACCTCACGCTTGCCGTTTGCATCCGTTTGCAAGCAGCAATCCGTGTCGTTATTGGAGATCCCACCAATCACGCCCGTCGATTCACCGATAACACAAGCTGCGAGGCAAGCCGCTTGCTGACGAACAAAGTTGTTGTTGAATGCTTCTTGCAACACGGCGGCGAAGCAACTTCGTGTCACATTCATACCGCTGGAATCTCCCAGAAGCAATCCCTTTTGGCTGAACCGGCACAGCTCTCGGCGGGATCTGTTCAGGATTCGTGGACGGAAGTCGAAGAAACATAAGAAACGGGCCTGCGCACACTAGCATCGAGATCGCTAGCACCACAACCAGCAGCACCGACCAAGGCGTTGGTCACCACATGCTGGACCGAGATGCTGCAAACACGCCTACATAAGCCCTCGCTGCAGCGTCAGGACTTGGCGGCTGGCCTGCAGCAGCCTTTTGGCTGCTTGCCGTGGAGGCGTGACGACGATGGTTCGCTGCTTCGCTGTTCCACATGCATGTGACGGATCACGCCTTCACGAGATGCATCATCCAGAGCATTCTCCCTTTTTACGTAAGCCAGCTTGTCTTTCATTGCTCAGTATTATGCAAGAGTGCGCACAACTGTTCGGAACATCGGAAGCGTTTCCTCACAAGGCGCTTTGGTACAGAAGTCTTCTCTGTGGTTCGCCCGTTGCGTGCCCCTCGATGCAGGGTGCACCAGATTGCCGCGGAGAGTGTTGTTGCATAATGTGGCACAGTTGCGTGGTCAACGGTTGATTTGACTTGGAAAAGGGCATGACTGGGCACGTCTTGTTGGAAGCACATGTCATATCTTCCGCCTCGGATGCGGTGTCTTGGGCATGCTGCTTGAAGCCACTTAGATTCACGTTCGCTCGCTTGAGCTGTCTCCAGTTTTGCACGCCTTGTTCTTGGGGGCATGCTGGACCCCGCTTGGAGCTGGCTCAAGTTGCTCGTAGTTTGCCTGAGTCCATCTGAATGTTGCACGGCTAGGCAAGCCCCTTTGCCATGTGGCGGACTCTCATGGTGATGTTTCCCGTGCACATCGTGCACGCGTTGCGGACTGAGGCCGGCCTGCAAGTTGGGGGCCTCTTCACACAAATCGATGCCTCAAGTCCCAACCGTGCCAAGGTGGGTGATGCTGAGTCCGTTGATCAGAGGGCTTATTCACTGCCGCGACGGTGCTCGAATGGCCTCTTCAGTTCCAGCCATTGCTGTTCCTGCTCTGAGATAAACGGTCAGAGACTCGAGCCAGAACTGGGTGCAGTGATTGACACTTGCGAGTGGGTGCCTCGGCGATGCGGCATAAGAGCTCGTAACCGCATTGCAGACAGCGCGACAGTTTATAGCAAGGAAATCGCATAAATCGCTTCGGTGTGGCCAAGGTAACGAAAGATGGTGTCATACACGGGAAGCCTTGCTGTGCTGTGTGGGCCGTCGACTGCAGCGAAGAGGAGCCACAGTTTCAGCGAGGCCTCAACCGCGACTGCATCGTTACAAAGGCCTGCTGCGTCCCAATATTCACCCACATTCACCCATGTAACAGAGAAAGGACTGTGATAAGACGGGACTCTTCATTTCGGTGACATTCGTTGGTGTTAGTGCGCGTGCTTGGCAGGAAGAGTGTGCAGACTCTGAGTGTTCCGACGTCTACAAGGAGTGCATCGATCGTGTCAGACCATGCGCATCCATGCGCGGCCGCATCTTTTGCATTCTGGGAGCAATCAAAGGAGCTTGCTGCAGCGAGACATGCACTGGCGAAGGACAGCTCCGAAGAATCCAATGACGACTCGAAATTACTTGTCATCTGAATACTTCGACGTCTTTGTGCTTTCAGGCGCAGCGCGATCGTCCACAGAGGAAGAGCTGGGAGGAGCAGGTGGGAGCAAGATGCGTGGTGAATGCGGCGACGGGGGGGAGCTGGGTGTGGGCTTGGCTTCAGGGGTTCACGGATGCTGAGTGTTGGAGAGCCTCCCAGTGCCAAGGCCTCCTCTGCCTCCGCGTCCAGTGTCGGTGTTGTTTGCGCTTTCTTAGAGTCTTAGAGTTTGCTGGTTTGGTCTCTTGCTCCCCGGCGCCTCAGCCGGTCTTGTCAGGGCATTGTCAACGGCAAGAGCAACAGCCCCTGGAAGCCTGACTGAGAACTTCTAGGACTCTGGAGCTAGCAATTGCTTTCCTGCTGGGGGCTGCGAACTCACCTGGAAATCAAAATCGAACGTTCGTCAGTCGGAGTCTACCGCCGATGGCAAAAACCAGAGTCTGGCATGCTGGGACATGGTTGCAGAAGCCCCTTGCAAGCCGAGCCTTTGCTGCTCGTAACCAAGGATGTGCCCATGTGCCTGCGGAAATATTGTAGACCTGGATCCCAAACAGATGACCTGCAAGTCATTGAATGACGCTTGGCTTCGCAGATGCGAACGGTGTGCTCCGTCAGCAACCCTCAAAAAGCCTAAATGTAGTAGTGGTGCATGCAAGTAGAGCGCAGCTGATAATCATGTAAGGAAAAGGCAATAGTTTGTCCTTCGGTCCGTGCATGCCGCGTGGCTGCAGCTTGTTTGAGTCGCACCATTTCGGCCCACAGTGAAGACTTGTCTTGAAGTCGAGGTCAAGTGCCTTTGCAGAGATTTTTTCATGTGGCCCCACTAAGAAGCGAGCTGGAGCTGTGTCGTTGCGTTCGCAGGTTGCTCGGATCTGGTCGAGTGCGACGCGGATGCTCCCTGGCCGAAGGCGGCTGCAAGTTCTCTTTGCCTTCAATGTGCCTCTACTTTTGAGCCTCTGGATTCTTCTCATGCTTGTAAGATCTTGTAAGCATCCCATGTCAAAAAGTAGAGCATTCGGGAAGCAAAGAACATGACGGGCTGTACCTGCACTCCGGCGGACCGATGTCGGAAACACGTACGGGAGGCTTGCAAAGCTACGTTTCTCAAGCATCCGCAGTCGACATGTGTCCGCACATCGTGCATAGAGTCACAGAGTCTCAGAGGGGGACCCTAAATAGAGTATTGCGGCGGGGGGTGCGCCGTCCCAGGTTCGAAAATGTATTTCACAGGGGCGGGGTCTAGGGAGCCAGAGGTATTGCTACTATCACTAATTAGTATGCATGTGACGAAGTGTGCTAATGCAGAGCGCATTGGAATCCGTCTAATGAGACTGAATCTGGCCCCGTGAAGAATGTATGGCGCGGCCCCCTTTGCAATGCATTCCTCCTGTTTCTTCGAGCATACTGCCAGAGAGTGTGTGTGTGTGTGTGGGCAACCCAAAATACCACGGGAGTTTCAGCAGAGTAGGGGGACGGAGAGGGTGCAGGGGAGCTCCGTCCAATGAAGCTCTCCCCTGCAC